AACACTCTTGAGCGTTATGCTGTGTAAATGTGTTTTTACAGCACTTAAAGAGGACTGGCTAATCAAGGCGGTGCATTACATGGAGGAAAACCCAGAAACTTTAGAAGGTGAGCACTAACAGTGTTTTGGTCATAATTTTTCTTCATACATGATGCTGTACCTCACTGCATACAGTCAGTTGTGCGCAACCAGGAGCCACAAGCTACCTGTGCTAGCTATTCAGTGTCAGTTAGTCATATGGGCCGAGTTAATTCTTCTAGATGGAGTTTGATTATTAATGGATCAGATCATTTTGGCAAACTAGGAAGCACCTCAAGGGTGTGGCTGATAAATGTTTTATCAGTCTTTATTTAAGAAGTTTTTGGATATCAGTTGCAGTTAATAGCCAAACCTTTTCAAAACAAGCACTGGAAACCTTAAAGTTATCACACAAACTAATGGTAGAAAATAATTGAATGTGATTGAACAATACAACTTTGTAGTAGCACTTTGTAGCTTCATGCTGATCTCCTCTTGTCGTTCTGTTAGAGCTGATGGACAAAAACTATGCTTTGGCAGAAGGAGACATGGTGCTGTTGGTGAGCTACCTGAGAACACGTGCCAAAACTGAGGCAACAGATCCACAGACAGACTTTTACACAAAATTTGGTTTGAAATGTCTGCACATTGAGTTTAGGAAAAGAGTTTGCAAGAATTGTACTCTTTGTAAAATATGGACATAACCACAGCCATGTTAGTGGGACCTGTGGTAAACTTCCAGCTGAGCATTTTTCTGCCACCATAATTCCAGTGTTCTGAATCCAAACATGATCAGAATGACAGAAACTAACAACAAGGTGGGGCCTTGCCTCCTTTGAGTCTAATGTGAACCATAATTTACAAAACAAATTCAGAAGGGCATGGACATGGCAGTTAAGACCAGAAAATCGCAGGAAAAAGTTCAGTGAGGTCATTTAAGCTTCATAACATTGAGCTTAGATGTGATGTGGACTAGGCAGTCAGTGAACACTCGAAGCATTTCATTTCTTCTGCAGAATGACAGGAATGCAGTGAGCAGTAGCTGGCCAACTCTGGAGATACCCTATATCATTAGCCCAGATTTAGGTAAGCACAGTATGTGCATTAAAGATCATTGGATCTTTGAGAAGTCTGTCTTACTGCCACTTTGTTTTTCAGCGAGTCGCACAGATGATATTCTCTCTGCTATGGAGATGGTGTCCAAACACACCTGTGTATCCTTCCACAAGCGAACCATCGAGCAAAACTACCTGCTCTTCAAAACCAGTACAGGGTAGGTAGTTTTCTGAAGCTCAGTCGAAACTCTGTTTGAACTGCAGTTGGAGCTCAGATTGTTTGCTGAACACCCCAAGTTTTCTGCAGCACTTAGTGTTCTGATTGGGTTTCTGAAATATTCAGTTTCTGTATCTTAACATGACAATATGACATCCTGGCTGCAGAAACCTTTGGCCTGTACTGCAGGTCAGGACACTCAGAATATTTGACCTATATCAGGCTTCACTAAATCTAGTAACTGCTATCGCGTAACAGAGAATTACTCAGCATGTCAGTCTACAAAACAAAAAATGGTGAATTTGGTACTTCAGTCATGCCTCAGAGCTCATGACTGTGAGGATGGAAATGGATCAATTTAAAGCGAGTTTAAACACCCTGACCAAGGCACATAATGCTGGTTTAAAAAGAAAAAGACTCTCCTCACTGCTGGCAAGATTAAGTACAGCAACAACTGCTTTATATTTTTCAGATTTTAATGTTTAAAGATGGATGTCTCATAAAAAAAACAAACCCAGGACACTAACCTGCAGTTTTGTTCTAGCTGTGCGTCATTTGTGGGCTTAAAGGGTGGTGAGCAGCCTGTTTTTGTTGGGCCCCAGTGCATGGTAGGTAACATTGCACATGAGATTCTTCATGCTCTGGGTTTCCACCATGAACACACAAGGATGGACCGTGAACAGCACATCACCGTTATTCACAGCAACATTATGCCAGGTAAGGGTTCTCCTCAAATATTATCTGTACTGTTTAAAAACTATGGTAGCTAAATGGTCATAATGCTTGGAACTTGTACAATAAGAAAATGTATTTTGTATGTATGTGTTTTTAAAACTCCAGCTTTCCCTTTATTTGACATTTTAAAAAATGAACCTGTTTACATGTGTGCACCACACCACAGTTTACTGCACATTGTGCATTTACCAAAACCTTTTGGGGGTTATTGATTGTTTACACTCAGGGAAAGTATCACATGTCTTTCAGGGATGGAGAAAAACTTCAGAATGCAAGATGGCGAGACCTTTTCTCTTCCATACGACGCTACCTCCATCATGCACTATGGAAGGTACAGTACCCAAAATGACAAATGTATAACAAACTGTTTCACTATAAAGGTTACGTGGTACTTTAAGATGATTACTCTTGTGTCAGAGATTTTTTTTCAGCAACCGGCCTGCCCACCATCTTCCCAAAGAAAGATGTGAAGGAAATGGGACAGAGAGATAAACTGACAAAGACTGACATTGAAAGGGTTCGACGTCTCTACAGCTGTGGTATATTTTCAACTCTGCTCACTGCACATAAATTTCATTTGTGGTCGCCACATTTTGAAGCTTTAAAGTTAGTGTGGCCACCATATTTTTGTTGGAACCAGAAGTGATCGCATGTGGAATCTTAGCAAGGTGCACCGAGGCGCTGTTTGGTGCTAATGTGGAGAAAGTGATCCAACAAAATGTCTGGGATTGTCCATCAAAACGTTGTCAGCCAAGCTGCCTGTCAAAGTAGCCATGCCTCTGAATTCAAGTCTTACCCAAATCCAAGTGAGTTGTAAAGATTCATTAGCTAAAAAGAGCACCCCAGCCTAATATAGGACTTTTGTTTTCCCTCCAAGTGGCAAAAGTGAGTTTCCTTGTGACAACCATTTTGCATTTTTAATCATTTTATATGTACATATGATTCATATATACAGTTAGGGCCGTATATATATATTTAGACACTGACACAGGTTTTACCCGTTTACTCCAATATATTCATATTGTTGACATGGACATAATGTGTAGACTCTCAGCTTTCATTTGAGGGTATCCACATTCAAATTGGATGAAGGATTTAGAAGTTTCAGTTCTTTAACATGTGCTTCGCTATTTATTTAATTATTTAAAGGGACCAAAAGTAATTGGACAATTGACTTAAAAGCTATTTCCTGAGCAGCTGTGGACAATTCCTTCATTATCCCATTATCGATTAAGCAGATAATAGGCCTAGAGTTGATTTGAGATGTGGCGCTTGCATTTGGAAGACTTTGCTGTCAACCATGCAGTAAAAGACATTTTCTGTGCAAGTGAAGCTGTGAAAACAGAAACAAAAACATCATAGAAATTGCTACAATATTAGGAGTGGCTAAATGTACAATTTGGTACATCCCGAGAAAGAAGGAAAGTACTAGTGAACTCAGCAATGCAAAAAGATTTGGATTCTTTGGACAGCTTCTGCCAGAATCATGGTATACCACATTACCTGTAAAACAGGGCACAAGCAGTGTCATTGCTTGGTTGTGCATGGGTGCCAGTGGCACTGGGATACTAGCGTTTATTGGTGATGTGACACAGGACAAAATCAGCCCAGTGAATTCTGAGGTGTTCATAAACATGCTGTCAGCTCATATCCAGCTAAATGTAGTCAAATCGATTGGGTGGTGTTTCATTATACAGATGGATAATGACCCAACATGCAGCCAAAGCAACCCAGGAGTTTATTAAAGCAAAGAAGTGGAGTATTCTTGAATGGCCAATTGAGCATGAATTTCATTTGTTGAAAACCTGAGACAGGCCCACAAACAGAAACTGAAAGCTGCTGCAGAGCATTAAAAAGGAGGAAACCCAGCATCTGGTGATGCCCATAAGTTCAAGACTTCAGGCTTTCATTGGCAACAAAGGGGTTTCAACCAAGTATTAGATACGAATATTTTATTTTCAGTTATTCCATTTGTCCAAATACTTTTGCACTCTGAAATTAAGGGATTATGTACATGCAATCTTTATGTAACTCACTGAATTAAAGCTGAAATTCTGCACTTCAACCGCATTTGAATTTAAAATTCATTATGGTAGTGTGCAGATCCAAAATTAGGAAAAAAAAAAGTTCTCTGTCCAAATATTTATGGACCTAACTGTATAAAATATGCCAATGAAATGTATTGGCAAAGGACATCAGTAGTTACCTTTGTGTTTACCCAGAATTTGTAGCACATCTGGTTAAAGTCTGAACCACTGTGTAAGCCACGGTCACATCCAATATAATACCAACATAAAGGAAAATCTGTAAGGAAATGTAGGGTGTGCTTTGTAATTTATTACTTACTGCATTCAACAGTTGAAAGCTGGAATAGATACCTGAGATCTGGCCTCAATAGCAAGTAAAAGAATAACTGAAGGAAACTAAAGACCTAATAATAAGTCTCACTCTGAACAGTCTCAGAATGTAAGTCAGCCAGCAAAAACGGCCAAAACACTAGTGTGGCAGAATACAGACTTTAAAACCTGAATGAACAGATTACAAAATGCCAGAAGGGGGCTGTGTTAAAGAAACTGCTAAAGTCACAGAAATTAACGACTGAAAAGATGCAAACCAACTACAGAGAGGGAAAAATGTCAAACAAAGAAAAGATGTCTGACCGAGACATGGCAGTCAAATGATGTTGAACTGACAACAAAGATGCCCATGAAAGCTGATTCTGTTCATCTGGAGTTTGCAAAATGTTTTTTTTTTGTTTGTTTGTTTGTTTTTGTTTTGTTTTGTTTTTAAGCAATGACCTGATGATTCCAGAATGTCCTTTCCGGGTTGTCCTTGCCTCGATTATTGAGGATGCATTTAATGTACAACGAAGATGATAGCAGCGGTTTAACTTCCAGAGATGAAAAAGCTTATTAAAACCATTTATTAGACAATTTTTATTAGATTTTTAAAAACTCCAAGTTTTCTAGTAATTGTAGTATAGTAATTCTATACATGCAGACTCAATGAGTTTAAAAAAAATACTGTTTTTAATCTTTGCTTGTTTCTCATCTTTCCAAGATTCCCTTAAACAAACTGAGAAGGAAATCCATGACTGGGTTGATGTCTGATCTCGGTGCCACCGATGGAGGCTATGAGAACCAGATTACTAGCATTGCGGTTCTATCTGCCTACTCCAGCACCTGAACAATAACACTAGCAAGTCAGCAAACAAACTCGTTGTCATCACTGACACATCTATTAATGAAAATATGCTGGCCAGGATCTGGTGGATTCATCTCCACTGTTCAATAAACTAAAATACTTTGTTTCTCTCTAACCAGAATTTGTTAAGACTTTATTGTTTGCACTTTTTTGGCTTCTGGGGGAAGAAATGGTAGGCTTGACAATCAGATGTGCACACTGAACTCACTCAATTTCTGAATTTTCTCAATTTTCTGAAAATTGAATTGCAGAAAAATAGACTTCAATTGAGGGTAAAAGAAATATTACAAAGGAATACAGGTGATGTAGTTTATAGTGCGATATTTGGGTTTTAAAGAGCAACATCCATATTCTCATAAGTTACATGAGAGCACGGGTGTAAAAGCTGTTCTGAGCCACACTCCAGTCCAGAAGGTGGCGGTAATGCACCTGAAGGTGTTTGGCAACCGCCATAAAAAGATAGAAGGTGGTCCCACAGAAACCAGTGTGAGTATTCCAGTTTGAAGGACCACTTATTCTGATGAAAATAAGCTGGTTGGCTAATAATTGATATGAATGTGTTTATTACAATTATGAACTCAGATTATGCAATGAATCTTTTAACGTTTAATAGAAATTTAACGTTCTTTTGTTTACTTATTTTAACAGGAAGCGCAACCTAACCGGAAGCACGTGTCGGTGACGTCTTCCTTGGAAAACAAAACAAACCTGTGTGTTGCAATATTTCTGTTTTCAGTCGACGTTTGATCAGCGCCTGAAATCGTTCGTCTCGTTTTTGGTGTGCGCCTTATGGTAAGACTTGCATATGCATATATATTTGAACCCAGAGAAAAACCAACAAATGATCGCTTCTGCCTCCTGCCCTGTGCTAGCTGCCTCTGCCAGTTTGTGTTGCTCGGCTTAAAGCATCCAGAGAAAAACGAAGACTGTGGCCTGAACATCCGTCCTATTCTTTTGTCCCATCTTTCTCAGGTTGCTGCAGTTTACCGGTAATAGCGTGTTTGAGAGTCATGGCCCAACAGAGAGGAGTAAACAGCCTGCAGTTCAATCAGGACCAAAGTAAGTTGCCTTTGTTCATGAACTGAGTTAGTGCATGTTTTAGATACCAAACTAAGTTTGATAATGCACGCCCAAAAGAACAAGATAACAATAGGTACAGTGAACGTTTTAGATACCAAACTAAGTTGAGTTACTGAGGAGAAACCTGGCAGATTTACAAACAGAGGCTCGAAACATTTTATTCATATTAACGTTATAGGGGAAAATGCACACCCAAAAGAACAAGATAACAATGGGTACAATGAAACTAGAGAAAGTGGTGTGAGAACGGTGGCACGTTCTCTGGCTACACAAAGGGAAGGCCTTCAAGGGAAATGGCTTTGTTCTGTAACTACATTATTTTCAGAGCTTTTCAACATAAAGTTGTGTCTCGGAAATAATCCATGTAAGATTTCTTATGTCTTTTAACTTACAAGTCACTCTCTGAAAATTTGGTGAATTAGGTTAGATGGGTATGATATTAGAATAATACACATAGATGAAACTGAACATGACTGAACACTGCTGTGAAAAACCCAGAACAATTTACGAGCTAACCACCAGACAGAAACTACATGTATTAAGCTAGTTGTGGTTAAACATATTTCATATACAAAAACAGAATTAGTAAGAAATACAGAACCAGGCAAATGTGTGATAAAGGAAAATCTATATGTGCCTTCAGTTATCCTCCTGATATCCATCCACACGTTCATTTACTACCAGTGATTACTTGTTTTGCCGGTTAATCGTCTGATTTTCTGACCTGGTCACTGCTTGGTGAGCACAGCCTTCCCCCAACACAGCAGCGCTGAGACTTATCTTCTGTCTAAACTGAAAATGTATTGCAATATGTTGATGAATGTGTAGATCAGAGGGAAGGTGTGGGTTGAGTAGTTTGGAGACAGAGTTAGAGAGGCATGTTTTGGACATGTGCAGATAATATAGAAGATAAACGGGACAAAAGATGTTGAAGATGAAGCTGCCAGACAGAAAGAGGAAGACCTAAGAAAGCATTCATGGATGTAGTGAAAGAAGACTAGGGCTGCCACGATTACGTCGACTATCAAAATCGTCGACGACTGATTTAATAGTCGACG